GAAGTATTGGATTTCAGACAGTGAGTAATGGACCTGCTTTGGTATTCTCAATATGCAATTAAGCGGGCTTATATATTCATAAGGGAATTACCGTCATGCAGGTACACTTTCATGAAGACAGCCCACAAATCCATAGATTTATTTTACATTAGGTTAGAGCGTGAACACCTCACACACGAGAAGGCAAATAAATGTATGCAGAAACAGACACTAGCTCATAAACACACACGGCTTGCTTTGAGAAACGCAATCAAACACTTAATGCATACGACGCTGCACGGTGGCACATAAGCCCTTCTTCGCTTTGCAACCACAGATCATTCTGTTGTCACACACTGTGAACATCAGCTCCAACTGGATCTCCACACACGTGCACACACTCAGAATTGAGTTGAAACCCCCTTTGTTGGCTTTCAGATTCAAAAGTAATGAAGAACATCATGCATTTTTTTGTCAACCTTATATCTGCCAGAATCAAAATCTCCTCTTTGCACTGAAGCTCTAACCGACATGCAGATATCCTCACACCTCTGACAGTGTGGATGTTTAGCAGAGGTTTATTAAAGTACAATTCACCTAAAAGATGTTCTCTTTAATTGAAACTTGTGTCGAATAATTCTAACTTAGAATAAATAATTGATAGGATACCCAAATAAATCTATAACCTCGTTCCTGATCTGAGGAGATTTGGAAAATGAGATTAAAGCCTACAGACAATATATTTATTTGAGTTAGAAAATGTTTGGGACAGTTTGCATTTCCTGGAAAGGGATTAAACCTATTTTTATTGTGATCCCTGTTCAATTTAGAAAAATGATTCCTATCAGATTTATGATGATGGTAGTCAGATTACCCTACATAAAATGATGAAGAGCACAATAAAGGAAAAACTGTCTAATGAATAATTATTCTCTTTTCTACCCCTCTTCTCCTAACTCAAATGTTTTTTTAATAATTTACAGAACTTCCTTTTTACTGGTTTTAAGATGTGTTATGGATGAATATTACATTACTTTAACACATAATCAAAATGGGGGTTGTAAATCAAACAAACACGATTCAGTCGTACTGACAGTTTCATTATGTTATGGAATTAGAACAGTTATCTGAGATATGCATCATTGAGCCCAAACAGTATTGCTAAAACAAATCTCAAACTCATGTAAACATTTGTTGTCCCCTTTTTGCAGTTGAACAAGCCGTAAACACAACATATTATCGACAAATTTAAGATGCTATGACAAATATATCCGTAACAATTATATATATCAGCCACAGAGGAACATTAGCATGCTCATTGTGTTTAAACGATATTCAAGACTTTCCCCTGGATAAACTATGTCTTCCTGTACGGCTCTGCAGAATTGAGAGCAAATCAACTTTTTTGACATCCAACCTGTCAAAACATTTAAACTTTTTCTATATTCTTTTTTCCTTAGCGTTGTCAAAAGTGTTTGAAAAAGAAGAAACACATTCAGTTCAGTTCATGTTGAGCTTTAAGGCTTTGAATTTGGTCTGCTTTTAAACCTTATCTTAATGCATTGCAGACTTTTTCGACACCATTTTCAAGCGTTAAAGAAAATAATAATATATGTGCATATATTTTCCCCTGTCTCTATTCCTTCATTTTGCCTCACTACCTTCTTCCCACTCACTCTGCCCACCTCACACTTTTTTCTACCTTCTTAGCACTGCAGCTGGCATTTCCCACTGCCTTCGCACCCCCCCCCCCCCTTTCTCTTCCTCTTCCACCTACCACTCTCCCTCCACCATCCATCTCTTTCTCCTCTCTTTGGCCTGAGAGTGGAGGAGAGCAGCATGGCTCCGCGCCATTAGCCACCACATCTCTATAAGCATAGAACCCCGGGCCTCCCACATCATTCATTAAACCCACGTCCCTTAAAACACACACACATTTGGCATGCACACACTCCATTTGAGCCCTTGCTGTTTTCATTGATACCCCCCCTCCTCCCGTTGTACCACGCACATTATGAAGGGCAATGATGAATGATGGGTGTTGTCTCCACACACACACACACACACACACACACACACACACACACACACACACACACACACACACACACACACACACACACACACACACACACACACACACACACACACACACACACACACACACACACACACACACACACACCACACACACACACACACACACACACACACACACACACACACACACACACACACACACACACACACACACACACACACACACACACACACACACACACACACACACACACACACACACACACACACACACACACACACACACACACACACACACACACACACACACACACACACACACACACACACACACAAAGACACAGCACACAAGGTACAGAAGCTGAATCCACGTCTCTACAGCAGCGGGGCACATCTGTCATGAGGACAGAACAGGCGCCGGGTCGACATCTGGCCCCCCAGCTTCATAGGAACAACCCACCTTGGATTGGTTCCCATATACTCTCCTGGCAAACACACACACATCATGCTATTCCTGCTGTCAAACAACAACCTGCCAAAATCATCACTGACTGTGCAGCATTCGGCCCAGAGATGCGAGATGGATAATGATGCCAGACACAGAATATCTAGACACCAAAATTATTAAACAATTAGTTCAGGAGACGCTCGGCTGCTCTCATTATCCACCTTATCCTTCTCATCTCTCCTCGCGGTAAACACATAGAAAATCCCACCATAATCCACCCTGAATTAACAATAAGAGTTTAGAGGGATCACTGAGAGTGATAAGTACTTCATTATTTCCATGTTTGGGAGTGAATCAGGGACAGTGTGTTAGTGCGTGAGGGGCACAGTACACACACAAGAACGATTTCAACAACATAACATGTTTGTTGATTTAATACTGTATGGCTGTCATTAAAAGAGGCCAGTTTATCAAGTCAAGTGTCATCGCAATCATGTAGATTGTGACTATTAGCTATTGATGAAACACCTCCATTGGGCTCCTTTGTTTACTTCCATGACATAGTGACATCACTAACACCCACGCCTCTTTAGGCTGGTGCTCCAACACATTTAACGTGGCTAAGGGGCGGGACATCTCTACATTCTCTTTCATCTCGGTTGACCAAACACAACAGAGCCGGCCAGCTAACCAATCAGAGCAGACTGGGCTCTGGTTTCAGACAGAGGGTGAAAAGAGGTGCTGTAGCACAGGCAGTATGACAAAAATAAAGACCTTTTCGAACATTAAAGAATGAAAACATGTAGAGGGTGGCACAACATATAAATATGAAACCTGACAATGAGCAAAATAGGGCCCCTTTAAACTATGCACAACATGATATTAGGCCACATTTCACTGTGTGTGCTGTGTGCTCTGCATGTGTGACCATTAAAGAGGGTTTCATCCCTCCGATTCTTTTCTATTCTATATATTAATAAATCCATGTTTTTGTTATCTATGCCTCCATCTTGAATGCAAATGAGACTGGGGGGACAATCGAGTGACATTCAGCTCTTCCTTCTCGTTGATGTTTTCTGCACTGCGCACTTTTATATGCATTGCTTTTATCCTGCCGCCTTATGACAAGCAGAATAGGAAAATACAGATACAATTATGAGACCTGAAAATTACCATAAAAAGGCCCCCTTTAAAATGGTGTACTGCTAAAATAATAAAATACTGTAATTGCTGTGTGAAGCTACTGTATGAATATAGACTGCTACCACCTGCATGTACCCACCTACCTCACCGGCTTGGATTAATATTCTGTGCAGGCTTTACAAATCACGTCCTGGCTAACAGGATTGATTACATTCCCCTATACATCATTTAACTCTAACACAGCAATCGCATTTCAGCAGACTGGGCTAACAAGTGCCCTGATCTGACTGACAACAGGCAACGTGGGAGGCTAAGACTTAATTCCAGCAAGTCATACATCTCTTCTGTGCTGACAGGCTTATATAACGTTAAGACGTTAACACAGTAATTGCTATGATTAGAACTATTTGCACAATCACTCAGAGTAAAATATTTACACAATTGACCGTAAATCAAACTAATTAATGAGTATATGCACTAATTTGTGTTACAGTATTTGTGACACCCTCTTCCACGTTGGAACAATGAGTGTGGGTGAAAGGACTTGGGGCCTACGGGTGTTCCCAGCCTTTTCCTTCCTGCCAATGAGAATGAAAGCAGAACACCTCACAGTGTTTCCTCTCCTTTGCTTTTAAATACAAGGGTGACTCACGCAGCAATACACACCGATATAAGAAAGGAGCACATTCGAAGGGTTGCAACGTTACATCACACACACTCACATTGCCCTGATAATGCATTTGGGTAATGGGCCACCAGGGACATTGCCAAAAGGCCAGAGTGGTTTAGAAGAGGGTCTTAAAGGGGGAAATGGTTCCCAGGCCCCCCAGAACAAAACACTTTTTCCCAGCTGGGTGGATTTAAATTCTCCCTTGCATAGCGGCAGGAAGTCCACATGGAGAAGAGTGCAACTCAATGAATCAACACACTCACTGAAACAACTGCATTTACCAAACCCTCTGACTGCAAACAATTCAAAAATCAATAGAATAATTACAAAGTTATATTGCAGAGTGGCAAACGTTTCAGATAAGTTTCCCCCTTGTTTTGAACAGCCCTAGGACTTGAAGTCAGAGGGAACAGCAACACATCAGCAGAGTTGGAAATAATGGTCTATGCGGGAGAGCAGCCAGATGATAATATTAGAAAATGGATCCTGCTTGCCGGTAGAAAATAGAGATTATATAAATGCTAGTTAAACAAAGATGACAGAGCCGAAGGGCTTAAACAAGTCATGGGAATGTTCTACAGTGGTCAAAGGTGAGTCACAGATGACGTTTGTGAAAGGATGGGCAGAAAAACATCAACTCTTATTATTTTTTCCATCATTTAATGTTTTTTATTTTCGAGTTTTCAGTGTAAAGCCAAAAATGGAGTATTCAATTCTTACCATAACAGCAGAGCAGACACATCATTGCGTTTTTACCTTTCCGCCTCCAAAACCAATACTTGCGCCGCCGCTTCATAGTCAGTCCAGAGTCTTTTATTTAGAAAAATAAAAAATATCAACCCTAGATCTCTTCCTAATATCTATATTCAACCAATGACAGTGTTCATCCTCACTGTTGTCCAGCTTGTAAGGGTCACCTACCCGTGGCAAGGTGTTTGTGACGGGACCTCCGGTAACCAGCCAGGCAGTCCATGTTGTGTCTGATTCCGAGGACAGATCCCAGTAGAAACAGCAGGTTGAGAAAGTTAGGTTTGTAACCAGATCTGAAAGTAACTAACAACTAGCACTAACGTTTCACTTCCTTCGTGGAAGCAGTGGACCAAAATACACCTCTGTTTAGAACTTTCTCCCCTTCCTTCCTCTACTTGAACAAAGAGACAGAGGAGACCCCCTGACAGGACGCTATGCTGAGACCTACTACAGCTGAGTACAAAAACACTGTAGAGGCAGACGAGTCTCCAACCACAAACATCTTCTCATCCTCTTGCATATGGGATGTCCGTAATTTCGCAAAGGTGAGGGAAAAAAATAAGCCAGGTTACACAATTGCCCCACACCTTCCTCTCTGTGAAGGTACTTCTTCAAAATCCGTCTTAGTCCCTTGGTTTTAGAGGTCGGAATAATCTTTTTTGACGTCAAAAGACTTGAGCTTGTAAGGTGCAGTTTCTGGGAAGAACTTCACCGGCTAACAATGCCAGTCAGGAGGGGGAAACGACACACAGGAAACTGGCTGGGGCATGGATGGAAAACACATAGTGCCTTGGCTGAAACACAGCCATTATTTAGTCTTCTATTACATAGATTTGGACTTATAAACACATGTTTGACCAAACTCATTGTATCAAACTTAGCTAAAAAGGTTTGGAGGTAAATCAAAAATAGATTTACAGTAAACTACAGACTCCATTACAAACTTCCATTAGATTCCATTAGAAACTGGCCTTAGGTGTGTGTGACATGAAAAGGTGCACACACACAAACAAGTGGTAACCAATAAAGGAAGTGTCAACAGACTTTGTTCTAAGCCACACATTTTTTTCTTGATACATTTTAAACATTTCAAAGCAAACAGTCTAAAAGTAGCTCTTTGTAAGTTTCCTCTCTCTACCTTATTGTTTTCCAGCAGCCATCTGTGAGAAATGGCCCCCTGCCTTCACAGAATCACAGGAATAGTGTGTCTGTGTGTTACAGTCAGACTATCTTTTACCAATTATCATCAATACACCGTAATGAAGGAAGTAAAATAGGGAAAGCAAGATTATGTGCTTTCAAATGGCTTCAAAAGGGCTTCTTGGTTCAATGGAGACAACTGTTAATTATGTTCTAATTGATTTGGGATCAGCAGCACAGTACCATAGCAGGAGGGAATGGAAGATTGCTTTGTTTCAAAGAGTACATGAATCTGCATGTGTCCATCACACGCTGAGCATAAAGGTCCTCCTGCTGGTGAAACGTTTCTGAGCTTTTACCTCCACCTACTGGAATATTTGCAAACTGGAGAGCCTCAAATGTAATCCTAAATACTGTGTACAGTCGCTGAGGGATATTACACAAACACACACAGGTATCCGTTTCCTAGCGCAGCCCACACACAATCATGTCCAGGCAGAGACATACTTTTTTATCTCTTTCCCATGTGTGTTTGACTGACTACTGTTCTGCATCTAATGTGCCTGCAGGAACCAGCTGATTCCAGCCTCTATCCACCCATGGGTCTCTTGCCTGTTCGGCCTTGTAGCAGAACCTCTATTCCTGGCTCAACCCCTCACCGGACCCCACCTTCTGCCCCTTGATCCAGCAGGCCCCACTACCGACTCAAACGCTAAATAAACCATCCTCTTATTAGCTCTCTGCCTCGTGTCTCGGTGTCTGCACTTGGGTTCACAATACTAGCTTTAACATATCATCAGGGCTGACATGATATCAGATTTCCACCACACAATATAGTAACCTCAAGAATTCACGTATATTCATCAGTTATTATGCTATCAGGGAAATCCATCTTTAACTTTGTTTGTGTTATATTTGTATTTTAGGCTAACAAATAACACTTAAAATACGAGTGTAGGTTTAGAGAAAGTCTGTGATCAGAACTGTAAAAAACCATCAAAAACAAAATCTATACTAAAGGATAGTAACATTTCAGAGGCTCTGAATTATATACTGCATGGATATTATCTTGTGTGTTCTTATAAGCGTCATATCCATATTTTATTTTTTAATATCACATATTGCAGCCAATTTCAATGTGCGCTACTGTATGTAGAATTAAGTTACATTTTTGTTATTGATGTGTCAACATATACCCTGTAGCATAGAAATAGCATTATATGTGAGATAAGCTAATATTTACTGATGATTAGTATAGCTCCATTGTGATATTCTATTTAGTCAATATCACCTTTTCACTGCTAAATTAAGGTTTAATAAATTTTTAAGGAACTGTTAACCATAAAATGAAAAGTCAGTCAATAAGTGAGACCACCACCACACACCTGCACCTTTCTACAGAACTGTAGGGACTACATGTTTAGGGCTGAAGCAATAAAGCTAATTAAGACGTACAGTATGAGTGTGTGTACACACACTGACAGTGAAAAGTGTCACTATACACCCTCTCTCACAAAGCATTAGTCATTAGGTCTCCATTAAGCCAGGCCAAATGGAGACCTATGCTGCGACTCAGTGAATCAATAAAGAGGTGGGAGAAGTATTCAGATCTCGTACTTGAGTAAAAGTAGGAATACTTTGTTACAAGTAAAAGTCCTGCATTCAAAATGTTACTCAAGTAAAGTACAATAGTATTAACATTAAAATATACTTAAAGTACAAAGAGTAAAATTACTCATTATGCAGATTGGCCAATTTCAGAATAATATATATGATATGTTTTGATTATAATTATTGTTGCATTAAAGTGTTTATCAAAGCTGGTAAAGGTGCAGCTAGTTTGAATGACTTTGTATACTGCAGGGCAGCTTGTGAATTTACTCCAGGTGGAACTAAAGTCTGATTTAAGACTTGATTATATTTCACATCATTAATCCAAATCTGTAAAGTAAAAAACTAAATGTAGTGGAGTAAAAGTACACTATTTACCTCTGAATTATAATAAGTAAAGTACAAGTATCTCAAAATGGTATACTTGTGTAAATGTGCCTAGTCTGTATTTGTTTCCTGTCTGTGTTTTCCCTCCTGTTTGATTATCTGATTCTGTTCACCTGGTGTCTTTGTGTTTTCCCTCCCCTCCCCAGCTGTGTCTTGTCTCTTGATTGGTCAAGTATGTATTTATGTTCTGGTTTTCTGTTGGGTTTTTGTGGGTTATTTTTACGATTTATGAGGGAAAGAGAGTTTTTGTCGTTTTTTGCACATATCCAGTCGCCTTGAAAAAGGTTATTTTTGGTTTAAACATTTGTCTGTCTGCACTTGGGTCCATCCTGCGCTGCTCAACCTTAACTTAATGTTTTCTCAATTTCTCTTGAATGACCAAAAAAAAAAAGTGAAAACATCAGTTCAGCACCCTGAATCAATTCTCACAACAGGCCTGAATCAATCTTTGGATGGGAATGTGGTTTAAATCACAAATAAAGAGATACAAATGCAGAGGCGCATCCACGGCACTGCATTTTTTGAACCCCTGATAGAATCAGCAGCAGTGTTCTCATTCCATCGCAACGGAACAGCATTTTACAAAACTGCTTTTAATTCATCAGTCAACTGGCATCACAGAGGTTGAAATACATCAACTAAGTAAGGCTTGGACGATTTTATCTGTAAATATTTAGGATTTGGTGTTTTCCCATACTTTAGTTTTAACATTGTAGTTTGAGGAGTTAAAAATGTGAATATGAGGCTTAAAAGATTGTTACTTTTCTAACAATCCTTTCTTTGCTGTTTTACAGACTGCTAAACCGAGTCCACCATGTCCGTTCACTGGAAAGCGTACCCAATAAAGGGTCGGACGACTGTAAGATACCCTTCTCTTTCCCTGCTTTTAAAACACAAATGATATGCATGACTATGTGAGCAAATAGGGGTGAAACATAATTTAAGCTTGTGTAATTTCAAAGCCTGCATGTGCTAGTCTTGCGTGTGAACCTTTTCTTTGTGCAGCTGTAGAAATGTTTAGTGCATGTGTGAAAACGTTTTGTGCACACCGATATAATTTTAACCTGTTAAAAGAGTTAATGTTGTAAATCAGGGGTCTCCAACCTTTTTTAGGATGAGAGCTACTTTCAAAAAATAAAACAAGTCGTGAGCTACTTTTACTCCTCTTTTTATTGTTTTTTGCAGTGTATATATTTAGCACATTTTAACATTATGATATGCTTACCTTTAACCTTTGTGTGCTTTTGGGTCTGTGGGACCCGTTTTCAGTGTTTACTAAAAGAAAATGTATGCAATTTAATTATTTTAACCTGCTTTATTTGGGGGTGGACCTCACATCCTCTAGGGGGGTCCGGGGGCTTGCACCCCCGGGAAGATTTTTTTTTTAAATGTTGAAGTGAAATGCATCAATCTGGTGCACTTTGAGAGCAACATGAATTTATGGATACAGCTCTCAGCACTCATGAAAGGGAGCTGTATACTTTTCAATAATCCAAACATCTTTAGAATATGATCACAACCAATAACAAATCATTTAAACTTGATTATTCTTATTTTATGTTACCTAGTTAGCATTTTTTCTTTCTATTTATGCATATTTTACTAATCACTCCCCTTTTAAATACAATATAGTACACATTGGAATGATTTCTTACTTTATTTGTTACAACTATATTAAATAGATAAAGGTGTGCTCTCTCTCTCTGTCTCTCTGTCTCTCTCTCTCTCTCGCTCCCTCACAGAGACTGTGTGCTCCTCCGTGGCGATGACGGCTTGCTAAAAAAATAAAATAAACATATTTGTAAAGTGGGGGGACACAAACGGGATTTCGAAAAGTGGGGGGGACTGTCCCCAGTGGAAATTACGCCATGCGTGTGTGTGCGTCAAGTGCAATAAATATGCAAGTTGCAACACACACACAGTAAAACTCTGCCCCTCATGTGTTGTATAGGCTGGCATGACTAGGCTGTTCAATGGGGCTGATGTGTTGTGTTGATTCTGCCAGAAGGAAAGGTTAAACTCCTTATGAAGCGGTGAGCTGCCGCTCCACATTGCTTTTCTTCCAGACTGCAACGCTGGTCCCGCAAATATAGCAAGAATGTTATTGGTCGATATTCATTGTGTGGGGTGGGGGGAGGAGGGGTGTTAGATAGATATAGAGTTGTAGTAAGTAGATAGAGTTCGCTATGATTGAGGTTTCGTTTATGCATAGGGTAGATTCTTTTAATTACATTTCCTTTATTTTTGGTGTATTTTTTACATTTTGGATTTGCTTGGCGAGCTACTTATTGAGGGCTTGCGAGCTACCGGTAGCTCGCGATCGACGTGTTGGAGACCCCTGTTGTAAATGTATTGAAGCTTGTAATATCTCATACAGATACAAAATGTGAGTGCAGATCTCTCAGATTTACGGGCCGTCTCCACGGCAGCGTTAAAAAAATCTTGGAGGTGGGCGTATCTGAAGCTTGGGGATTTTTTTGCGATCAACCAATCACATGAATCTCCCGCCCGCGACATACGAAGCCAAAAAGCCCGAAGTAAACTGGATATAAACTCCCCAAAACAGGCGAAAACATACCACTGTCTCTGCCACCTCCCTCCATGCCTGGCTCCTCCGGTTTATATCCCGGTAGGTCTGGGGCCTCATTTATAACGCCTTGCGTAGGATTGACGTGAGAAGGTTGCTTACGTAGTACAAAGCAAAAAAATAGGTACAGAAATGTTCCGACATTTTCCGATTCACAAAACATTGCGTACCGGCGAGGGAAGTGCGTACCGGCACTTCCTACGCCTGTTTCCCTTTATAAATCACAATCGACTCGAAATGCGGCGCAGCTTTTGCAGGCTTCACGTAACGCCCATATTTACCTATAAATAGTCAAAGAAACGCCCATTCATTCATTCATTCATTTTGACTGACTGCATGAAGAAGATCGCAGGAAATGACGATAGAACAGCTAAAAAAGACATCTCACACCGTGTCATTTTGGTTATTGTGGGGAGGTCGAGATAAATCATATTGTTTGGTGGATGCAGTTTGAACCAGAGTAGCACCATGGAGGTCGGATCGTCACCAAAATAAATATATAAGTGGTCCGAAAAAAGTTAATGACAAATAAACATAACCTTCCTCAGGCAGTGTGTTTGTCCCGGGGACAGGAGACACCCCCTTGATGAGAAACTGTAAGAAATGATCGGGGAATCCCTCCGGAGTGGAGTCATGACGACTGGATCTGAATTATTTTTGTTGTATTTGGTGGTTTGTGTTCCAGCTGTCGATCAGCAACTATATATCCACCAGTTAAATGAAATACAACTAATGTGTTGTGTTATATTAGCTGTACAATTTACCACATATGGTGTTCTTAGTTTCCATACCTCCTGTGTTTTACGAGCGACTTATCAAGTCTTGGCAAACGGCATAAAACACGATTAAACGTGATAGTATATAAAACCATGCTCGTATCTACAACCTATAGAAATGCAAAACGGCGTCAGTTTAGACGTAATTCTGTCCTCCTGCTTACCGCATCATTTATGAGAAAACATTTCATAACATTAACACAACATATTCGAGGTGGTTTTAAATAACATATCCGTATTTATTTATTTCTCCAAGTTATGTTTTTGTGAGCACTGAGGAGTCTCAAACAGGCGTTTGTTTAATCATTTTAAGGTTGGCTTTAATCAATGTTTGAAAATGAATTCTTCATATAAATGAGAGGTAACATTTTATTTATTTCCACATATTTCTCTCCATTCTTCCTTCTGCCAACGGTGTCGCAGTTTCTCGTCTCTCCCGTTGTTGTGCTTAGTGCGTACGCATGGGTTAGAGTTTGCGTGGAGGACAGCACATTTTCCCGTCAAGTTAGTATTTTATAAATCGCAAACATTGCGTAGAAACTGGCGTACGCCATTTTTTGAGCGTATATCCCTTTATAAATGAGGCCCCTGGTCATAAAGCACCGGGTGATTGATTCGCTACCGCTAATTTCTCCTCCTTTTTTTGGAATATGAGGAAATGATCTGCGGTATGTCTCTCCCAGCATACACGCCGTTTGATTGGCTAGAGCTTGAACTGTCAGATTTGCGTACACAGGATTTGATTGGCTGACGCTTCCTCCTCAGCTTCAAAAGTTGAACATTGTTCAACTTTGGATCTTGAAAATCCTGAGAATCTCCGCTCGCCTGCCCACAATGCATTTCGGCGAAAGCGAAAAAAAGTGACGTCACCCCATTCAAAGTGAATGGGCAGAAGCGTTTCAAGATTTTTTTAACGCTGCCGTGGAGACGGCCCGTTACAGACTCAGACAAGGCTTTATGTTGAAGAAATTAATGTAATGATACATAGCTAAAACTATTTTTACTTGCAAATGATATCCGTGCACAAAACTGTTTCAGAATTGCACAAATTCTGTCTACAGCGAGACAAATGTTAGCAAACATATGTAACAAATAAGCATATTTATTTCAAAATATACTCCCAATATTTTTGTCACACATTTACAAAATGTAATGTACAATTGCATACTATGATTTGCTCACATACTTAAACCATTACTACTAAACAAATGAACTTATAAAAATGTGACTTTTCTTAGGAAAGCCCTGTAATCCAGTCCAGTCGTCCTGTGCTTGACAAAGAAGACACTGATGAGAAGACATACCCATATCTAAAGAACATTGGGTTTCCTTCTGTGGATAATGAAGTGGCCGGTCAGAGGATCCAGCCTCTCAGTCTTGAAGCTTGTGAGGTTCCACAGTTTCCAAGCCCTCCACCTGCTGAGACTGTTCCAGACATGGTGTCTCTTCATAAGGCCTTTATGAAAAGTATGCAGGACCTTTCTTTGGATGACGACACAGATTTAAAACGCGTTTCCAAAACAAGGTTTGGAAAGGAAACCATAAATGCCAAAAACATGAGGTTCCCTTCACTGGGTGACGACACCGAGTCAAGAAAGCATCCCAAAATGCTGCCTCCACGTGTCGAGGGTGTGCAACAGGTGGGAGACCCTCGGTTCAATCACCCAGACTTGTCCAACATCAGGTTTTCTGCTGCAGCTTTGGAGCGCTTGATGTCCATCACCGGCAACATCCATTTCCTCTGCCTCCGAGCCCTCAATAACCTGGAGTTCCACAATTCACAAGATAGAAAGATGGAATAACTTGTTTGTCTCTATAAATAAAAAGAGACCAATGCATTTTTTTGTCTCATGTCATATTAATAGTAAAACATTTATTAGTCACTACAAATAGCGCTAAACAACACCAGTAACCCAAAGTGAATCATTCTGCATCATACACACCGTGGTCTAAAATAGAAGAAACACTTTCTTAATTTCTTTAGCATAGCCTAACAATTAAAAGAAAAGGAAATAATGCCATCCCAAATATGCGGCATATTTTCAAGAAATTAATAAAAACATGGTACAGTTGCAAAATATGTAACAAATACAAAATAACTGAACAACAGCATAGAGTAGACAAAAACATTGAATACAGAAAAGTACAAGGGTTGGTGACCAAAATAGGAAGCTTCAAAATACTTTGTTTATAGAGGAATGTACTTATTTCAGTTCAAACTGTTTAAAAGTAGGTCTTTGTTTAAAAGTAGGTCTTTGTTTACCCTCTTTACCTCGTTTTTAAATCAAGCAGAAAACTGTGAGAAGTATCCCCGTCTTTACAGAATCACAGGAATAGTGTGTCTGTGTGTTACAGTTAGACTATATTTTTTTTATTAATTATCATTAGTAAATCGAAATAAAAGAGGAAAAGCAAGATTATGTGCTTTCAAATTAAAGGGCATACTGGTTCAATGGAGACAACCTAATCAAAATTGACCAATAGGCGCTTTCACACCAAGTACTTTGTCGTACTTAGTTCCCAGAACTAAAGAGCAGATCGCGTTCACACCGGAATAAGTCCCTGAGGGAGGATTAGGCAAATGAAGCCGCTGACGTCACTTCTTCTTCTTCTGCTTTGGGTTTACTGGCAGGCCGCAAACAACTTCACGGCGTATACTGCCACCAGAAGTGCCCGGCCGGAAGTCCCCGGAGTTGGGGACTGGCTTCAGTAGAAGCTGCTGGGAGTCCCAGCAGCTTCTACTGAAGCCTTCCGAGTAAATCGAGTAAATTGCTTGACCTTCCATCTAGAACCCACCTCACCTCTGCCCACTTTGACAACCTAGGATGGCTTAGAGTAGACGACAGAGTACAGCTACTTGCAATGGGCCTGGTCTACAAGATCCACTACACCTCTATGGTACCCATGTACATGTCAAAATTCTTCCCAAAGGTCAAGGAATACCATGATCATAACACCAGAGGGAGCTCCACAAATCATGTAAAACCCAGATTTGGCACAAAAAAGGGGGAATACACGTTTCGCAATTATGCCACATCAAGGTGGAACGCTCTTCCCACAACTGTAAAGGAAAGTAAAACTATACTTACCTACAAAACCTCTCTTAAAGAGCACCTTCGGGGGAGAGCATTGCAAAACTGGCCCCGGTAATGGTACAAATCTCAACCTGTCGTACAATGGACAGCTTCCCCCCCCCATCTATGTATATACTCGCATTTTAGACTCTGTTACTAACTGTATATCTGTAGACTTGGTATGTCTTAAATGTCCGGTTAGGATGTATTAGAACGAAATCTAAAATGAAAATTGTAAATAAGCCATCTGTATGTAAAAAACCACCTGTATGTAAATTGTAAATAAGCCATCTGTATGTCAAATATGTCTTATATGTCTTAAATGATATGATGAATTGGAAATGGGGGACCCTGATGTAAACAAGACGAAAGTCTTTCTCTGGTCTGCATCCCCTTAACAATTGTATGTTTTGAGCTGTACTGTACTGTACCCAATATACAAGCTGTTAATAAACTTTTCAATCAATCAATCAATCGCCAGAACGCCGACACCTCCTCATCTCCACCGCTCCCATGTTTTTTTTTGTGTTGCCATAAGTTAGTCTCTCTCCGTTGGTGCGGGGGCTAATGCTAATGCTAATAATGCTAATGCCACAAAACCTTTCAGAGTTTTACAGGGCGTGGTTTGCAAATTCGCCCAGCCAATCAGAAATGGGAACCTTTTTCTCCCAGGAAAGTACCTGCTCTCTAGCAGGGACTAAAAAGGGGTGAAAAGGTTCGCAAAAAAAGTTCTAGTTCCAGATCTTTTTGGTGTGAACGCAAAATCCCAGGAACTATCGGAACTATTCCTGGGAAAAGAACTCCGGTGTGAAAGCGCCTATGTGGATATTTTCGAATTGATTTGGGATCAACAGCACTGTATTATGGCAGGAGGGAGGGGATGGTTGCTTTGTTGCAAAGAGTACAAAAACATTTTCTGAGCATTTACCTCCACCTACTGGAATATTTGCAAACTAGAGTCCTTCAAACATAATCCTAAATACTGGTGTGTGTGTGTGTGTGTGTGTGTGTGTGTGTGCGTGTGTGTGTGTGCGTGTGTGTGTGTGCAACTGCTGAGGGATGTTACACAAACACACTCAGGTATACTGTTTCCTACTGAACAGCAGCCCACACCCACTGTTATTATCAGCTGAGCAAACCAAAACTCCAAACACACAATCATGTCCAGGCTGAGACATTTACAGACTAATTAACTGTGGGGAAATATTCTAACATTCCATAATATCATATGTAAAAAGTAATGTATTAACAAACAGTAATATTCACTTCAGGGGTTTTTTCTGACCTTTTGCTTTGGAAACTACAAGAGAATGCTTTGAGAATGTGTCAATTTGCAATAATCTGACAGTTGGCACATGTCATTTAGTCAAATGTTGTGTTGTAAAGTCATCAAGTTCAGTTTCCCTTAAGCCTCTTACACACCAAACTGACACCAAAGAACACCAGTTCCGTCGGCACGGGTCGCCTCACGTCTCCTGCGTCTTGGCCATGTTTCGCACTGGAACACACCGCAAAGTAGCACGTACGAACTGCGCATGCGTGAGTGGCAATAACTCTCCTTACCAGCAGGCGGCGGTAGTGTGTATTCGTCATTCAAAAGAGGCAACAACCGGAAGACAGACTGCGTGATAACCAAGAGAAGAAGAACAGACTGCGTGATATAAACAAACAACAAATAGCGTGTCCGTTCCATTTTCACTCTACAGCGAGAAGCTCATGGGGCTTTCCCGAACCTGTGTCGAGAGCTGGAGTTAAATGATATCTCAGATTTGCCTTCTTAATAGTTTGTTTGGGTCCCTCACTTCCGTTTAGCTTCTCATGCACTGAATCGCTAAGCTGAACAGCCAAACAGAGTGATTTCTTTTGCCGACGGCCTCCCGATTCAACATATCGAATCGGCGGCGGAAGGTGTCGGCACGGCCAAAAAGACATGATGGTGCAGTACACACCAATCTGAGTAGGGCGACACGACGCTCATCGACGGCCCGACATCTATCGACGCTGAAAATCGGCTTGGTGTGTAAGGAGCTTTAGAGTCCAATGATAGACTCGATCAGTCAATACTTCATCCTCATTGTCTCATTTCCAATGTGAAAAGAACAAAGACAACAGGAAAGTGTAGGGAAACACAGTTAACAGCAGTATACAAAAAATAATGCATGAAACAAATGAGTAATCCCTTAGTTAAAGAAGGAAAATCACATAAACCTAAATGCAATATTGAAATAAAGCTATAACTGTAATTTAAAAGAGAACATTCTCAATAAAAATAACTCTTCATCAAGAGCAGCTTTAATAATGTTATAATGTTTAAAATACATTGAAAACATTGAATTTAGGGTGACTTGCTGCTTTACATGAATTAAATCATAACATACATATACTTTTTCTAGTAGTTGAAGCAAAACATGTTTATAAAATGAACTTTTATCATGAATCGCCTTTTATACAAAATTGCAATAAAAGGTGAGTATCAATAGGCGGGTTCACACCGGAGTACTTTTCCCACAATAGTTAATCAGAACTACGATATATTTGCGTTCACACCAAAAAGCCCCAGAACTATTTTTACCCGCTTTTCAGTCCCTGCTAGAGAGCAGGGACTTTCATGGGAGAAAAAGGTTCATATGTCTGATTGGCTGGGCAGAATGCAAACCACGCCCCGTAAATCTCTGAAAAACTTTTGGGAGCTGCCATTGTATTTGCTCGCATTAAAAACTTAGCGCAGCGCACCAACGAAGAGATTACTTTTGTGAAAGCAGTTATTATGGCAACACTAAATAAATCATCAGAGCGGTGGAGTGATGAGGATGTGTCGGCGCTTCTGGCGATTTACTCGGAGGTTGTGATCCAGAAGCTTCTACTGAAGGCAGTTTCCGTTGTTCAGCAAAGTTAGCCGACCTGGGAACTGTCCACAGTGCAAAGTCATGCCGGGACGACTAGACGACGAAGGTAAAATAAACTACATGCACTGCACTGTTTTAATCTGCACAATACTGGTCTCAGATGTACTTTTATTTGCTCAGTAGATCGAGCTAGCCATGCTGGCTAACACTGTTAGCAGGCTGACTCCAAGCTGGCTAACAACATCTAGCTAGCTAGCTATTCTCAGCCGCTATGAAAACGTTTTGACTTGTGAATAAGTGTGCAATGTTCTGTAATTTGCTTCACTAACTCATAGCACTAATCGTGTGTTTCAGGCGAGGTGTTTCTCTCTGGATTGGAAACTAGTGAGCTTTCAGCATGCTAGCTGGAAATAATGCTACCTCTGTGGCTACACTGAATGAATAGAGGTAAACAATACATTGTAGTTGCTATAATTTCATGTGTCATTTGCAACATTCATTCTACATGTTAATGGTAAAAGCTTAAACAGTTGATTACCTGCATGCCACAAAGACTGATGTTCTAATATCTTTGCACATTTAAGTAAAAATGTAATTGAAATTCAATTTATTTTTCCTTTTTTTTATTGATTGTTATAATTTTACTCAGCCAAATTGCCTACACCTGGGACAGTTAATTTTGTATTATTTTGATTATATATATGCCACTGTTATTAATACTGACAATTCACTTTGCACTAAGGTGTGTCTGCTGCTGAGCCTACCTATTATTGTTATTATATATAAAAATATATATATATATATATATATATATATATATATATATATATATATATATATATATATATATATATATTTATATATATATATTGTTTTGATACTACTGACACTTTCTTTTATATTG